TTTTTTTTTTTTTTTTTGTGACGGCTGTGGTTTGATATTGGGGCCTTACATGCACGTTAAACAGGATCAACGGCAGGGGCCACAACAGTGTCAGTATGACACTCTTCGTCCTGCCTATACCTAGAGGCCGTCACCGACCCGCACACAGCACGAAGCACCAGCGCTAATCTGCAGTACTAGCAATATGGAATCTACTCGAATTCTCGCAGGTTGAGCACTGAAGTTGCAGGGTTTTGTCCATCATACTGAGCCTGTCTTGTTTGGTTTCCTTGCACTCCGGCTTCTTGTTTGCCCTGAGAAAGCTTTCCTTGCATGGCCCTTCAAAGCCCTAAACCTATGGCCGGCAATTCCTGAATCCCGAAATCCGCCTCAAGACCTCGAGCGCAAGGCACGAAGACCCAGAAAGCCAAAGGCATTCCTGACAACGCGGAGATCTTCACACAGGCAACATCTACGTTTCGTTATAGCGCTGATTCCCAAGCCTTTATGACCTGTCAAGATTTGCAAACCCTTGAAACCCTATTGAAGGTCTTACAGTTTGACTTTACTCTATGATTCTGTCCAAATCGGGGCGAGTTGGGGTTATAGTATTGTAGGGTCTATCTAGAACAGGCCCGACCAGGATGCACAGGCCTAGGTGCTTTAGCTTTAGCGTGCCTGTGATAATGTGCTATACTATACCACCCAAAACACTATTCTAGGCATCATCAGGCCTTCTAGGGTACTTCCGGGGTAAAGAGTTGAAATCGAGGCCCGTGATGAACGCTTGCCATGCACCCCTAAGCACACATAACGCCTCAGAGAAGCCTTTCACAGGTCGAGGGCCTCAGGAAACCAATATGTCCCTGAGTCGAGGAATACTCCTTCAAACCATCGCAGGGAATCTTAATTTGAGAACCTGCTAGTCAGGAAGCTCGGAGTGAATTCGGAGTTTACAGTCGAAAGGGTTGCTTCCTGAGGACACCCTGAAGGGCGGCGCAAAGAAACCCGAGCTGGCTAAGCCGGGCTCTCAGCTTCCGACGGCACTTCTATGGGAGTCAAGTTCGGCTGCCATGTTCACGGGTCCTCCTACACGAAGACCCTGCTCCTTAGTGTTTCTGTTGGCGGTCACAAGTTTCCTGAAACTCCCAAGTGCCTGTCATTCATAGTGTCTTTATTGTCGTTGCTATAGCGTTATCGCGGCTATGGCGAAGGCTTTTGTGTTTTCAGGATTGTTGCTGGGGCTTGCTACAGTTGTTGGTGTTTAGGCTTTTTGCGCGTGCGGTTAGTGTATGGACATTTTGAGGAAAAGTCCTGGGGGAAAATCCTTACACCCTAAGCCCAAGGGGTCCGATCCCCGAGCTGAACCCTGAGCCCTAGGCCCTAAATGTCAAAAGGGTACTAGCCCCCGAGTTTACAAGCATCACCCCATCCCCTCTGCGGGGTTTGGATTTGGCTTTGTGGTTTAGGGTTTAGGATTTATCGGGTTTAGGGCTTAAGTTGTGAAGCAGCGTTTAGGCCGAATATGACGTAGAGTTGCTAATAGAACTAACTAGCACCCCCTCCACAAAAGGTCCAAAACAAAAACTCCCAAGGACCTGTTAGTCGGTCCTCCCAGGTCCCCCAAAACCCACCGACCTCAAGCTCGAATCCCTCTCGCCCGAAACGAGCCACCAAGGACTTTTATCCCATAATCATCATTTTTTGGCAGAGCTCGAAACACCCAAGATTGCTCCAAGGCTCTTGTGCGTGAACAGCGCGGAAGACGTGGCAGCTCGTCATAGTCTAGTGTATTAGGTTTCTGGTGTATTTTGGACTCAGGGTTTAGAAGTGTAGGGGTTGACTAAGCGTTTAAGTACACAAAAGCCGCAAGCCTGTAGGCCCCCAAACTGCTTGCAATTGGATGCATTCTTTGAGGCCTAAATCAAGGCAAGGAGCGCTGACAGTGTGAACGGCCGCTGCACCTTCAAAAAGCCCAGAACATGTGAGCCTGCATCTTGTAGCAGCTGGTGGATAAAGCCCCTGAGCCCTTGTTTGGAACCATGCATACCACAAGCTTCAGGCCGCGTGCCTGGAAACCTGAAGCCCCAAGCCCAACCTTTATCCTGAAGCCTGAACCCCAAAGCTCTACAGTCTACACCCTGACGCCTAGCTCCTTGTCGCTGCATAGGACTGGCTCGTGGAGAAGTTCAACTTGGACCTCTCTTTGGTCGCGCGCCTGGGTGGCCACTCGCAGCCCCGGACGCACCGAGGGAAGGAACGATTCCCGGGCATCTGGGCTCATTGCACAGAGTTTTTCGTTGTAGCGGCTTTCTATTTTTCGATCATTCTCTGGAATTCCAAAAGGTTTCCTTTTGCATTTTGGTGTGTGTCCAAAATAGCTAATGTTTGGCAGGCAGGTTTATATTTCGTACATGGTGAGTCGGCTGGTGTGACCCTTAGGCTCTGCTCACAGGCTTACAGGATCAGGGAACTCAGGGTTCAGGGCTTTGGGGCTCCAGGCTTTGGCTTAGACTTTTAGTCCAGGATTCAGGATTTGCCGTTAAAGGTTCGTTGAAGGATCCGGGGACATATTGAATAAGTCATTAGCAGGGCTATGAGTACTTTGATCGGGCCATCTTTATTTGCCACCTGAACTCTCACGCGGGGTTTAGGGTTTCGGGTCCAGGGCTTTAGGGCTTGAGGGTTGTTGGTCTCCAAACGGCTTTCTGGCATTGTTTTGTTTTCGGGTTTGGGTGTTGTGATCTGAGGTTTGATGGTTGAGGACTGAAGCCCTAGACCCTAAACCTTGGTGCCGTTGAGGGAGAAGGTCGCAAGTACCGGTTTACGAGCGAGCGAGGGTGCTCACAGGGCATTTGAGGTTGAATCTGTAGGTTACCTCACGAGCCCCACCTTCTGTGCGGCAGCAATAAACACACCCTACTAAAGACAGGCATGACCATCACCTACGCCCTGATCCAGATGTTGGAGAAGGCCAATCCCAAGTTTCGGCGTAGCCAGCTGCCAAATGTTAGAGATCTGAATACTTGGTAATGATTTCCCGGGTGGTCCCGATATACTTGTACAACCCTGATGACTAAGGCTCCTAAAATAAGACCATGCCCAGCCTTTCTAGCACCATAGTTGGAGCCGCATTTTTGCAGATGTGTCCTACAAGCTGGGATCTAGGGCAAACCTTCGATGCGAACGGTGTGGAGGCGACGAGTTGTGCTCGAATCCGAATCTTATCAAGGTCAGGATCCTCGTGTCGAGGTTTATCGCCAGCTTGGTTTTTCCGTTTCCGCAGGTGGCGGAGAAGACGGACCTGG